AGCGGAGGCAGGGGTGTATATGTGTGTGGGTGTGGGGTGTGTGGTTTTAAGGGCCGGTAAGGGGTCCCCTGAACTTGTCTTTTTGTGTTGCCATATTTTCCAGAAACGCTGGACCCAGAGCATGCAGGAGGCCCTGAATATGTCAAGGACGAAGTTCCCCCTGAGCTGACATAATTTGTTGTTGTACCCCAAGCTGGATCCTCTGTGTGTCCTTGGGAGGCAAAACAGGTGCCAGCCAGTCTGTGCCAGGCTGGGATAATGCCTGTGCAGCGTGGGGTCCTTTGCAGATAAACAGACTCTCCTATCTTCATAGTCTAGCAGTTCCCAAGGGAAAAGAATGAGGCTTTTGCAATCACCTTGCTCCTCCCCGTGGGGAGTGCACTGTCTTGTTATTTTTCCCACCTTTGTTGCACCATTCCCCTTCCCATGTCATGCCCCTTCCTGGTATCCCCTCCTTCTTTTGTCATGCTATTATAAAAATGTAAACTTCTGTGAAACTGGGAACCCTTTGGGTTCCATGTACATTTCTCTTGTAAATAATCTGCTTTTCACATAAGTCTGGTGATGTTGTGATTGTATCTAGTATCGGTATCTAGTTTGTGATTGAGGCAAAATTCAATTTATTGGAAATGTTTATGTAACTAAAGAGCAGATTATATTACAGTGCCTGTTGATAGATAGACAGGTGTTGTTTAGGGGAAGTAAAGAGCTGACCTTTCCTTAGGACTTGGCTCAGTTTGGGTGCCAGTGATTCTTCTCCATATTTTTTTTTTTTTTGTGAGGCAATCAGGGTTAAGTGACTTGCCCAGGGTCACACAGCTAGTAAGTGTCAAGTGTCTGAGGCCAGATTTGGACTCAGGTCCTCCTGATTCCAAGGCCAGAGCCACATCCACTGCGTCACCTAGCTGCCCCTCTTCTCCATATTTCTGTTCTTTGCTGTGGCTCAATCCCCATTTTGCTCCTCAAAGGTATACTTGAAATACTGTGATCACTTCAAGCTTTCAAATCCAGATCCTGGGAATCTCTTCCTCCACTTCTGAAATAGCTTCTTCCTTTTATATAAATTGCTTAGGACATGACTTGGTCTCTCGCACAATGGCTTTGATTGATTCCAGGAGGTGTCCACACTCAATTCATGTAGTTTGATTCAATCAAAATGTGCTCTTACCTAGTTAGGTATCAAAGCTAAAGGGGAGAGTTTCAACCCCACTCTTACAGTGTTTAATCCAACTCCATGAAATTAGGAGATCTAATATACTTAATTGGTACAAATGGCCAGGATTTCTTTATCATTTGCAAAGTAATCTATTTGAAGGTTCCTGATACTTCAATACTGAAGTATTGTTTTATGCTAACTCAGAGGAGAACGTAAAAATAGAGCATTTTTTTCTTAAGTATCCCTAGTAATTTTGGTAAATATGCTAGACTTTCATTCACAAAAAAACACTTTTCCCCTCCTACAACTACTTCCTTAGTCAGCTACAATAGAAAAGAGAAAGTCAGGGAGGTAGTAACTATGATGATTTTGACTTATGTGAGAACATCAGTAACTAAGAATAAAAATGCTTTTATGCTTTCTTCTTTTTGGTAAAGAAAATGCAGGCAGCTTCATTTTCGGAAATGTAAAAATGAGAAGGTTCATAAATGCTCCATTGTTGACTGGGAGCTATGTGGAAAGGCCCCTAGAGTCATCTCAGATAGCACAAATAAATCTCTCTGCCTCTGGTTTTCTCAGCCTAATCATTAGCTACTTTACCATGTTATGCTCCTCCTTACAGAATTTCTTCATGGCCTGTAGGCAGAACAAGCTTGGTCTTCCCATTAATACCCTCTTTTAACTGCTGCCAAATCTCTAGCAGCTTCATTCATATGTTCCCTTAATCATTTCTCTTTGTTCTAGAAGTCTATGTTTGGTTTCTTGACGAACCGTTTTTCTGCTTATGATTTCCTCCACCCACCACTACTGATTGTAGTATATAGTTGTCTAGTACTTGCGTATTCATTTAAAGAATCACTTAATATAGAGAACTGAGTCAAATTAATATAAATAAGAGCCATTCCGCAATTGATAAATGGTCAAAGGTTATGAACAGGCAGTTTTCAGACGAAGTAATCAAAGCTATCTATAGTCATATGAAAAAATATACTCTATATCATTGTTGATTAGAGAAATGCAAATTAAAACATTCTGAGCTATTACCCACACCCATTAGATTGGCTAATATGACAGACAGAAAAGGAAAATGACTAATGTTGGAGGGCATGTGGGAAAATTGAGACATTAATGCACTGTAGGTGAAGTTGTATAGTGATTCAACCGTTCTGGGGAACAACTTGGAACTATGACCAAAGGGTTATTTATATATATAAAAAAAATGTGTGTGTGTGTGTGTGTGTGTGTGTGTGTATATATATATGTATACATGGTTTTAACCATACATATATATGCTTTGACCAGGCAATACTACTACTGGGTCTGTATCTCAAAGAGATAAAAAAGTAAAAGGACCTATATGTATCTATATAGTACCTATATGTACCTATAAGGACCTATGTGTATAAAAATATTTATAGTAGCTCTTTCAGTGGTGGCAAAGAATTGGAAATTGAGGGGATGTGCATCAATTGGGGGATGGCTGAACAAGTTGTGGTATATGATTGTGATGGAATACTATTGTGCTACAAGAAATGACAAGATTACTCTCAGAAAAACCTGGAAAGACTTATATGAACTGATGCAAAGTAAAATGAGCAGAACCAGGAGAACTTTGTGTATAGTAACAGCAATATTGTGTGATTGATCAACTGTGAATGACTTATCTGTTTTGAGCAATACAATAACCCAAGACAATTCTGAAGGACTTGTGATGAAAAATGCTACCTATCTCCAGAAAAAAGACCTGATAGAGTCTGCATGGAGATCAGAGCATACTTTTTCTTTACTTTCTTTGCTTTCCTTGGTGTGTGTGTGTTTGTCCAAAAGAAACACTTTTTTGAGTTGTATTTCATGAGAAATGGAGGCAGAATTGGCAAATGGGCCTCATGGCTTGATTCCCTTTCTGTAGGCAGAACAAGCTTGGTCTTCCCATTAATACACTGTTATAGGCATTTTGCCTATACTTTTTTGTAGTAGGCATGGGGGAAAACATTTGGTGAGCTTCTTAGTTCTCTTGTCAGTTGTGGTTCATAACCTTTTAATAAATTGTCTTGTGGTGGTCTCTTCTTGGTTTGGGGCTATGGGTTTGAGTAGTCAGATATTTGGGGTTCCTGTACCATCTAGGAATTTTCAGAGGGGTGACAAATTTTTTTGTTTTTCACTACTCTTAGATGTACCTTCTCTTATTTGGCCTTAGCCATCTGTAAAATTCTGTTCTTTTACTCAGGCTGAAATAAAAAATGAGCTCCTTCAGTAGCATCTTTCCCATTAGTACTTATCCTGGCAGTAGGGGGAGCAGTGGTACCGATAATTAGCCTTCCCTTATAATAGTCTTTTCTTTTTCTTTTTTAATTTTCTTTTTAATTATAAACTTAAACACCAACAAACATGAATGTTTCAATACACAATGACAAAGAAAAGGGAACTGTGTGTAAAACTGCATTTTTTTCATACAATTTTTACTAAAATGTATATTAACTTTAACATGTTAGCAACAAAACTACCTTGTTTGTATCACCGAAGCTTCCTTCTCCTCTCTTCATGTTTTTCATGTTTTTTAAAAGTTTTTTTTTGCATTACTCTCATTACTTCTCCTCCTTGCAATTCAAATAGAAGCCCTGCCTTATAATTAAAACTATAGTCAAGCAAAGCAAATCAATACATTGACTGTGTCTGCAAATATGTCTCTTTCTATATCTCTAATCTCTAATCTAATCTCTAATCTGGTATCTCTTTGCCAAGAGGTAGTAAACATACTTTATCAGTCTTCTGAAGTCATAATTCAGCACTGATCAGACCTCCAAAGTCTTTCAGATATGTTTTCCTTTACATTATTGTGGTAATATTTTAATTTTTTTTCCTCCTGGTTCTTCTCACTTTACATGTGATGGTCATTTCTAGGAGGACCCAGAAGCACTTAAAGTCCCACACTGTATTTGTCCCCAAATGGGATGTTCAAATAAATAAGTTAGGTTTTACAGCCACATTGATGAAAAAGAGTTTCAATTTTTTTGAAATACCTTTATTCCTAATTTATTAAAAGCAAATTTTGCCAGAATTCATGTCTATGTTGTGCCTATTCACTAATTCAATGAAAATTGAAATGAAAAGGAAAAGTTGTATAACATGAAGTTAAAATATGCCCAATGTAGCTTAGAGGAAATTCTCACAGCAACATTTTTTTTCAGTTAATGTTGACTCATTTGGTGTTATTAAAGTACACTTTTCTACTATCCCCAGAAGGGAAGTTCATATTCTTTTAAGTGAAGCCATTTTAAAAGCAGAAATCAAGCCTAAAATAATCCAGGGTTCTCCAGAGTTCTCAGAAGGTGTGGATTTATTTACTGTAGTTAAAACATAATTAGTTCTCCTGGGAAAGTGTATCTTTTAAACTGCTTTATTGCCACCATATTGATTTTCTAAATAATCAGAAACTTCTGTTATTACATATATTCTAGAGTTTAAACAAAAATGCACTGTAAGTAGAAACAAATGTCAGGAATCACTGGTTGTTTCTTGCTGGAGATAGGGACACCAGGTTGGAAAGAATATGTACTTGATAGAAAACCTTGAAGAAATACAATTCAGAGACACTTTATATAAACCGAATTATAATATGTGCATATAAAAGGGGGTTATTGTGTGTGTGTGTGGGTATGTGTGCGCAGGCGGGCCATATTCTCATTTTTGGAAGTTTTGCTGAGATTTTCTTGATAATCTAATAGATGATCTTTATAGTCTCTCCTGACTTTAAATTAATCAATGAAATCTGCAGCTACCATACCTTTAAAAACAATTTAATTACAAAAAAATGCTGACCAGTTTTTCCTATTTTAATTTGCAGGTTGATGTTTGAGGTACCATCAAGCCTGGGTTTAGTAGCAATTGCAGCCCGGCAAACAGAAGGAAAAGGTCAGTAACCTCTTGTTATTACTGTGTTATTTTCATTCAGAAATCTCAGTCTCAGGTTTCATTGGAGTTGCTTTGGAACTCTAGTCATTTGGGTGCCTGATATCAAAGAATAGTAGAAGACATGATCAGAGGGAATAGCAGTGTCAAAACACTCCCTTTCAACTGTGATGTTTATTAAAAACTTGATATTTGTCCACAATCATTGTAACATTTGGTTAGCTAAGGTTTTTTTTCTTCATATAAATTTTCCTTAATAACATATTCCAGGCTTTATAGTTCTAAAATTATGGCTGTATTATAGATAAACTTATTTTTTCACAGGTTCACTGTGCAAGTAAGTACCTACTATATTAATGGTTAATATTTGAAGAAAGAGAGAAGATGGTTGAAAGGACAGAAAGAGGCTTTCATTTCACCATCGTGAGTTCCAGCGAAGCCTAGTACTTTGCACATAATAAGCAACAGTGGAAAGAACACTGGTTCTAGAGTCAGAGAACCTGAGTTCAAATCCTGACTGGTTCTTCCTACCTTTGTGACCTTGTCTAAGTCACCTAATTTTTCTGGGCCTCAATTTTCTCATATGTAAAATGAAGACGTTTCTTTACAATAGCTTCTGAGATCCCTTCTACCTCTAAATCTAGGTAAGGATTCTCCAGGCTTCTACTGAGGAGTGATTCCTGAGAAGGCAAGGCAATCTTGTCTTTGTCTTCCCCTAAACTGAGTCAATATCTATAGTAAGCACGGATTTATTCTCAGCAGCTTATAGAGGCAAACAAAGAGTGGCATGAACAGGACTGAAACAGCCTGTGAGCACTGTGGGAGAAGATTTGCTCATTATAGCTGTTGGGAAAGCTGCCCTTTTTTCAAAGGCCATTAGATGGCACAGTGGATAGAGGGCTGGGCTTGAAGTCAGGAAGATCTAAGTTCAAGTGTGATCTCACACATTAGCTGTGTGACCCTGGGCAAGTTAGCTAACCTCTATCTGCTTCAGTTTCCTCATCTGTAAAATGGGGATCATAATAACAGCACCAACTTTGCAGGGTTATGGTGAGGATTAAATGAAATACTATTTGTAAAGTGCTTAGCATAGTGCCTGGCACATAATAGGTGCTACATAAATACTTATTCCTTCACTCTCCCTCCCTCCCTTTAGTACTATGAGGATGACCCAGAAATAATTTTAACATTCAAAAATAGTAACCTGTTCTGATCATAGGGAAATAGAAAAGCTCATGGAATAATGTAATTCATAATTTCTCAACTTTTTCTCATGAGTCAAAAAAAATTTATTAAGCTCTTACTATATGTGCCAGGCACTATGCTAAGTGCAGAGGATGCAAAGAAAGGCAGAACATAATTGTTGCTCCCACTCAGCTCTCAATCTAATGGGGTAAACAGCATGCAAATAGCTGTGTACAAACAAAGCGTATACAGAATGAATCGGAGGTAATAACTAAGGGAAGGCACTAAGATTAAGGACGAGGGAAGGTTTTTTGCAGAGAGTGGGTGGGATATTAACTGAGACTTGAAGGAAGACAGGAAAGCTGGGAGGCAGAGATGAGAAAGGAGAGAGCCCTGTATAAATGAAACAGATTGATCTGGAACCAAGGTTGCATAGAGACAACTTAAAGATAATAGGCCTTCTATAAGAAAACAACAGTTCATGCCCAAAGGACTATAAAAATGTGCATACCCTTTGACCCAACAATAGCACTTCTAGGACTGTGTCCCAAAGAGATCATAAAAATGGGATAAGGACCCTCTTGTACAAAAATATTTATAGCAGCTCTTTTTGTGGTGGCAAAGAATTGGAAATTGAGAGGATGCCCATCCATTGGGGAATGACTGAACAAGTTGTGGTATATGAATGTGATGGAATACTATTGTGCTATAAGAAATGGTGACCAGGCAGACTTCAGAAAAAACTTGGAAAGACTTGCGTGGATGTCATGATGCTGAGTGAAGTGAGCAGAATTAGGAGAACATTGTACACAGTAACAGCCACATTGTGTGATGAGTAACTTTGATAGACTTAGCCCTTCTCAGCAATGCAAGAATCTGAGACATCTCCAAAAGTCTCACGATAGAAAATGCTATCCACATCCAAAGAAAGAACTATGGAGTTTGAATGCAAATTAAAGCATACTATTTGCTATTTTTTTCTTTTGTTTTGTTTTGTTTCCTCTTTCTTGTGGTTTCTCCTATTGGTTCTAATTCTTCTTTTCAACATGACTCATGTGAAAATATGTTTAATAGGAATGTATAGGTAAAGCCTATATCAGATTGCACACTGTCTTGGGGAGGGAGAGGGAGAAAAATTTTAAACTCAAAAGCTTATGGAAGTGATAGTTGATAAATCAAAATAAATTAATAAAAAATTTTAAAAAAATAGTTCAAAAAACCTGAACACCGTAATGCAAGAATTAATACAAGAAAACTACCCACACCTTCTGAACATAGAATCAAAGTACCAGTCAGGTCATACCCCTTCCCAGGCCAGCCCAGGGTGTTGGTAGGAGAATGTCCTAGGGTCAAATTGCCCTTACTGCTGCCCTTGTGGCTGCTCCCTATAAAGCGCTGCGGGATCTCTCCATGGGCTGAGAGGGCAAAGACGTTGAACAACATCGTGAAGTGCTGCACCCTGGAGGAGATCCAGAAGTACAGCCACAGCAAGAGCACTTGGATAATCCTACACTACCAAGTCTGTGACTTGACCAAATTCCTGAAAGAACATCCTGGTAGAGAAAAAGTTCAGAGGGAGTAAGCTGGAGGCAATACCATTAAAAATTCTGAGGATGCTGGGCATTCCACTGATGCCGTAGAACTATCCAAGACATATTACTGGGGAACTTCATTAAGATGGTAGATGCAAAATAAAGAAACCTTCAGATATTATTGTTACTACCATTGATAACAACAGGCATTGGTGGACCAATAGGGCCATCCAGTTAGTCTCTGCATTTGTTGTTGCCTTGATGTATCGCTTTTGCGTGTGAAAGTCCTGAGCACTTTTTAAAAAGAAAAAGACTACCCTGTTCCAGGAAATGAAGAAGCCTATTGTCACTGTCTATTTTCCTGACATGAACCAATGTCATTTGCAAAGAAAACTTTAATGTGGCTATTTCCGACCCTCTGACCCCTGAAAATCAAAAGTGAACTGTCTTTCTATAAGCTTTTCTATAGAATAGTGTGCTTTTTCATTCAAATTATTTTCAAAGTTTAGTCTCTCTTTTTTATGTTCTATCACTACTTTGTTCTTTATGTAACAGAGCAGCTGATATAACTACTGTGTGGCCTTTAAAAATTAGATCATTTTGTGCATCCGTTTGTGTCCGTACAAGTCAGTCTTTGATGTTTAAAAACTCATAAAAACCCTTTGAGGTTTCTTCATTTAGACTCAAGCAATCAATGCTGACACTTTGCTTTAAGTAAATTTTTGGTTTCTGTCTTCTATCAGTTATCTCCAATAGAATACCCTATTGTGGCACTGCTTTCAAATGAAATTTTATTCAAATCAGATTTTCTTTTCAGGAAATCAAGAGGCCTGGTGATTATAATTTATATGCTTCTAATAATAATTGTTCTTGTGTAAATAATAATGGTAAGAAGGGGAAATGTCCAGAAGAAACTGCCATTGATCAAAAAACAAATTGAGTCTTCCCATAAAGCACAAATGGTTTTGTTCCACCCCATTCCTCTCATTCCCATTCTCAGACTAGAATTAGCGCTCTGGTTATTTGAGCAGGGAGAAGAGAGAAGAATCCTCTTTTGGGGATAGCTTTTTTGAAGACGAAGACCTAGTTGACACTCTTATGTAGGAGGGCTGCTGATTCCCTTTTAGTGACGACTGGGAGATGCTCTTTGTGATGTTTGGATACTGATTTTTTTTTAAGGAATTTAACTACTATATAACCATAATGACGTCTGTGTACCTGTATCCATTTTTCCCCCATTGAGAGCTTTTTCTAGCATATTCCAATATGTCTTAGTCTTTATTCTCTGGTCTTCAATTTACTTTCTGTCAGAAAGTTTAGTTGTTTGATAACGTGATGGGAGAGTAAATCTATTTAAAATATAAGCTCTCATGATGAACTGTGATCATGTATCTTTCCCTTGATGTATTAATCAAACAGCATGCACATAAAAAAACCCACTAAAGCACATTTAAAACATTAGATTTTTTCCCTCAAAAAATTAATATAAATTTTAATAAACATTGATATGACTATTCCACCTCCCCAATTTTACACACACACACACACACACACACACACACCACAGAAGGTAGGTCTTTCTAAGGTTAAGGTGAAATGCTCATTATTTCATCAATAACTGAAATTAACACTTAGAATGAAAGGGGTTAGGGAGGTGTGGGAAAGAGTGACTATACCAGAAATGCAAAATTATCTTGAAGAAAAGTCTTTTGTTAAAATTCTTAATAAACATGTTCCTAGAACAAAAAACAAAACAAAACAAAAAAATGTCAATTGAAAGAATCCATAGATGGGGAAGGCAGATAAACAACAAAATTTGAATAACAAAGATATTTGAATAACAAGATTATTTTGCATTTACTGGAATCAGCCCAAAGATTGGAATAATGTATTCCAAAGGGCAGAGGATCTCAATATTAACTTGCACATCTGAAGGTAGCCATAAATGTAAAAAGATGGACATTCAATAAAAAAGAGACATCTAAAAAATTCCTAGAAAGAAAACAAGACCTGAAGAAACTATTTGAAATACTCCAGACAATAGAAATATAAAAAGGGTAAGCAAATACAGCTACCAAGGACGACAACAACAAAATAACAACAGAGACACCATTAAGAGGTTGCTATCTAAATGGTTGAGGAGACTAGGGTAAAGGCAGAAATCAAATAGAAGTGATGGGTAGAGAAACACTACTGAAAGATTAGAGACTGAACCTCACAAAACTGTCTACAGGTGAATCAATGTTGTTGTTGTTGTTGTTGTTTTTAAACTAATTTATAGAATGC